GAATTTCTTACGCAACAAAATTGACTCTCGTCACGTATAACGATACACTACTACTACCACCCACTACTCATCGTCGAGGACGACGGACAAGTTAACGACCGCTTTTATTTTTCGATCTAGGCTATGCACAATTATATAAAGGCGTTATTACCGTTACGAGTCTCGCGAGACTAAAGTACATGGCATTTCCACTGGATGGCGCAATGGCGTTGAATAGCGCGAGGAACTGCGGCGAAAATTACATGCCAATTCCCACGTAGAGACACATGCAGCACACATATCAATTCCCACGTAGAAACACATGCACACATACCAATTCCCACGTAGAGACACATACACAAGGAGTAAAAATGTCGGCGCCCAAGTATGTGTTTGGTAAGAGCGCGCGCGCGCGTGTAAGGGGAGCGTAAAAAATAGTCGATAGCTCAAAGGAATAACGACCGTGACGATAAATAAGTAGCCATTAATGGATCGCATTGGATGTATTCGGCGGATTGGAGGGGGGAGGGGGGCGTCACTAAAAATGTTAAACCACGATAGTGATGAGTCATCGAGCATTTTGCTATCATAGGGAGTTTCTATTTCTGTCCTACGAATCACGTCCCAAGTATGCGTAATATGGCTTTTTTCGCCTGGATCGACCAACAGAAAAGGCGATACTCACGAAAAATTCGGCAAATTAAGGGAAGACAAAAAATAAAAAAATAAAAAAAAAAATGATAAAACGGAAAATATAGCCCGATAAAAACGATGATAAAATAATAATAATGAAAATATAATAGTAATAATCGAATGGTCGTAATTACCGAAGATGGTGTTGTTTGGGTTCATGGCGACTTGGTTCTTGGCGGCATCGCCGATGAGCCGCTCGGTGTCGGTGAAAGCCACATAACTCGGTGTAGTACGGTTACCCTGATCATTGGCAATGATCTCGACTTTTCCATGCTGGAAAACACCAACACAAGAATACGTCGTTCCCAGGTCGATACCAACTGCGGGTGCCTTGGCCATTTTTATGCTGTTTTATCTGGACAATCACAATGGAGGAGAAATATTATTATCTATTATTAAATTAACCAAGAGAGTTAACGCGACCTGGCTAGCTAGCTGTGTCGTCTCTCTCTCTCTCTCTCTCTCTCTCTCTCTCTATCCAACTCGCCGCTCGTGTTCCGCCGTCCCTTCCCGCCCCACTCGCACGCTCTTTAATACAAGAGCGCGCGCGCGCGCCCACACAGACACACTCACGCACGAACACTGTCTCGATCTTTCTCTCAAGAGTCTTAAAAGCTCAACGACATGTAATGACAAAGTCTCGCTTTTGTTTGACGATCCCCAATTCGATCCAATTGAATGAAATTCGTATATCATGAGCGCCGCGACTCTCAATTATTTGCCAACTTCGTCCTCGTATATAAAGCACCAATAGTGAGAATAAGGAAATTGTGATCGCTCGTTTTTCATTCCACCGCACCGACCTCGCCCTACCACACCCCACCCCAACCCACCGCGCCACGCCATAAACAAAAGGCCGCGAATTAATATCATTAATGTCATTGTAATGTCAAGTCATGCTTAGTTTATAATAATTTCATCAACGAATATTCATCCCAATCGTGATGAACAGGTGTAAACGTTGGATTGAACCACCATGGCCCGAATAATGGCGACGACGACAAAGACTCGAAGATTTATTATTATCAAGCTAACAATGGTTTATGGCGGTAAGGCCGCCACGACACACAAATATACGATAATATGGACTAACCGTAACACCGCACCGGCCAACCGATCGATCAGGCAGGCAAGCACATTACACTCGACGATTAGTATTTATCGCGGATCCACAAAGCCCACAATACTATTCTCTCCTCCTCTTCGTTCCACTCCTCCACCCCCCCCTCCCCCTGCGGCCCGCTCGCAGTCTCACCTACCTTTTATATATCCGATCTCGTAGTTTCGATGTTATAAGCGTATCTAGAAGAGGCGAAGAAGTCCTCTGCACAACGAATCGCAACGTGAGTGAGGCGCGAGCCGCCCGCACCCCCGTATATAAAGAGCTCGGGGCGACGCTTCTGGAACGTTCTCGACCGCGCGAACGTCGAGGCTAGCCAATCGGAGTCGGCATTCTGTCGTGGGCCAGCGATCATTGGCCGGGCCGTAACGGTACCGTCCGAGTCAAGCGCGCGAACGAGACGGCGCTGCTCGGCGCCGTTCTACCGTGTATCCCGGTTAAGCCGGGAGGCCGAGAGATGCTCGCATGACTCGCCGCCGCCGTCGCCGCCGTGTCGGCTCGCTCCTCGTTCGCTGCCTGCCCCCAGAGAGCCGGATATCACCTCGCCCCTCACCGCCCCGCAAACGCCCCGTTTCCCGTCGTTTCCTTCCGCTCGCACACCCTTCCGCCCTCCGACGACCATCTCGAAGGTTCTCGAACGTTCGGGCGCGGGAATTGGAGAAATCGTTGCTCGATTCCGCGGGCTTGCGGCCTTGGGATGCTCGCGAGCAGGCGTACAGGTCTACTAGTCCAGGACTCGACTTGATCTATGCTGACCTTCGCGCCGCGACATTCAATTAGTAGGAAACGATGCCGGGAAAATGCCGCGTGGACGCGACGGCAGCAACAGCACGTGTCTCCGCTGTTGGCAATTACGGCAGCCGCGTGGACGGCCGCGTATCGACAATGACGCGGGTGGGTGGACAACGGGGGCAGGAGCTGGATTGGCAAGTTTTGCCACGTTGGGTGGACCGCTGAGTAAGTACGAGCTCGCGCGCGTACCTGCGGTTACGGCGAGATGCAGAGAGAGAGAGAGAGAGAGAGAGAGAGAGAGAGAGAGAAGGAGAGAGAGAGCGAGACGGTAGAGGTAAACGTGGCTAATCGAAATGGCCATTAGAATCGCCGATAAGAATGGCTCGACGAGGCTCCTCTCACAAGGAGGCCGAATCGTTAAGGTACGGCCAAGGACCGTTGTGATTATTGTTTACTCGCGGCGGCTGTCGTCTTTATTATCACGGAATCGCTTGTTACGGCTCATTACTCCTTATCGCCCGGAGGAGCCGACGGTGCGAAAAATTAATTACGGGCTTTCGGGCTTTCTATTCCGGAACTACGACGATCGATCAAACGGCATCGCACGCCACGCTCTCGCGTCTCTCATTACCTTGTGCTATTGATAATGCGGGCGACTAGCGGTTACTTGTCCCGTGAGATTTACGAATAAACGTCAAACACACGCACGCGCGCGCGCGCGCGCAGATACAGAGAGACAGCGACAGATGAAGAAGGAGAGAGATAGTAGTAGATAGATGATATATATGCATGGGGGGACACGAGGACGCTGGAACGTGGAAGCGCTGCTCGGCGAACACGCGCTGATTTTCCTAACTTTTTAAATAATATATAAGCTACTTTGAATTTGAAAATATCATTGAGCTTTGTTAATCGAAGAAGAGAAGGGGGCAAGGCCCGTGTACTCTGCCTTGTTCGTCCTCCTACGTGCCTGACTCGACGAGGCCCCTTCGCGATCCAACACGTGACGCGTGACGGGGGTGGATGGCATTCGTTGTTTTTTATGGGTCGATGAAGAAGCCATCGTCAACGTGACAATAATCGCTTTAGCGAGTCGCGAGGAAAAAGTTCGCGATGGTCACTGGGGAATGGTTGCCTAAATAACGATCAGGTCGCGTACGTTCGGCTCATTGTCGTTGTGTGAGAGACGACGGACGCGCGTGTTTTGTGGTTGAAAAAATGGGACGAGAATAGAAGGGAAGGAGCGCGCGCGCGCACGTGCAACAAAATCCAACGACGATTGAGCGTCGTCGTAAGGCGTCGTTAGATCGTCGTTAGACATTGTCGTAAAATCGCACGTGCGCACGACTTTCGGCTAATCGGCTGAAAATTCAGCTGTACACGAGGAATAATAGCAGCGAGGAAATACCACGAACGTTCGGAAAATTCGTCTAGCACGTCGTATTTGTTGCCGAGAATGTACGGGAAGCCAATCACGTGGAAATAAAAGGTGATCGCTCGCCCGACTCTCCAACTTTCAAGGCAGTTGCGCGTGTAAGGTTCCCTTACCGCTGTCGGTCCCCTGCCCCTCGATCGCCTCCTCGCCGCTTCACAATACACGCGCGCACTCTTCCATTTCCCAAATACACGTCCTTTGCCGCCTTTTTTCTTTGTCGCGCGACAGATGCGCGGATTCAGGGCCCGGTTGTGTGTGTGTGTGCGTGTGCGTGTGTGTGTGTATGTGTTTTGGTGGCTGCTAGTGGTGATGAGGGGGATGAGGGGAGGGACGAATGAGAGAGACAGACCACTAAGATGCTAAAAGCGTGCGTGCGTGCGTGCGTGCGTGCGTGCGTATGCCCTTGCTGAAAGGTCTAAAAGCCCAAGGAGCGATGTGTATTTTAAGTTTGCTGATTAACTCACGTTGCAATAAGATTTACTTATTAGTTTATTATGTCGCTGATATTATTATTATTATTATTATTATTATTATTATTATTATTATTATTATTATTATTATTATTCGCGTGTTTCTCGGCGTGTTTGGAAGGCGTTTAAGACATCGGTAAGGTGATTTAAAGAGAAGAGAAAAGAAAAAAAAGTACGTCTCGATCGACGACGTACTTATTTATTTGCGTGCGCAATGGCGTGTCGCGACGCCGAAATTTCAATGGCTTAG